AGAGTGACTGAGAGCAGTCACGTCTAGTAGAGTGACTGAGAGCAGTCACGTCTAGTAGAGTGACTGAGAGCAGTCACGACTAAGAAGAGTGACTGAGAGCAGTCACGTCTAGTAGAGTGACTGAGAGCAGTCACGACTAAGAAGAGTGACTGAGAGCAGTCACGTCTAGTAGAGTGGCTGAGAGCAGCAACAACTAAGAAGAGTGACAGAGCAGTCACGACTTAGAAGTGACTGAGAGCAGTCACGACTTAGAGTGACTGAGAGCAGTCACTTCAAGAAGTGACTTGAGATCAGTCACGTCTAGTAGAGTGACTGAGCAGCATAGCAGTAGTCGGCATGGGGCTATTTCTGGCGGCGTCAGCTGCGCCGTTCTTCCATTAGCAGATGTACTGAACAGTTACAGCCTGTACGAGCTTCCTTGCAGCATCTAAAAACCTAGGTACGTACTGGTTTTTACTTCGGAAGTAGAACCGGCTGACGCACCTGGCGCCTTTTGGACATCAATTTTAACAATCAGAAATCATATGGAATGCCATGAACACTACATAACATACGTCAAACATCAACAGGTGTTTAGAAGAAATGTTTTGTTGATAATTCGCGTTATTACATCTCGTGTAAGGCAGCGAGTCTGCATTGGGATTTAAAACATAATAATTTAGCGGCCATACATGCGAGCACTACATCCAAACTAATGCTTAGTATTCCGAAATATTAGGTTGATTCACGCGCGCTCACTATGATGACAGCAAAACGTTCGCCAAACACGCCCACGATCTACACGTGATAGCGGGATATTATGGATAGCTTTCCTCCTTTCCTTTCCAGCTAATAACATGTTTCCTAATAACCTTAATACAAGCTGTCATAATCAGCCATCTAAATAAATTGAAATTTGATCAGTAATTTCACTTAGAGACGTAACGAGGAATCAGAAGCGAAATACAACAGTTTCGATAAGTAGAAGAGAAACTTGAAGCGACATGAGGCGTTAACGGACTAACTCGTGCCTGCCAAGCTGAGTTACAACTTACAAGTTCTGAGACTCGCGTATCTGATGTCTATACTTGGCAGCCGCGGCTGCTCCACTAGCGACTCCATTAGCTAAACGATGTCTGCGCCAGACCGGCTTGTCAAAATGCTCTGTTCAGCGGTAACCAAGAAACGATGTTCACCACAGACGGCAATAAAATAAAAACATGCTTTGTTTCGGTAAGAAAACAGCTTTAGGTTAAGGTAAAGACGAGGGTGAAGGATTCAATTTAGTCACGCTGGACCAGTTTAATAATACTGCCACAATGACCATGTTGTGCAGCGCAATTTGAGCTAACGTGCCAGTGACTGCAAAAGTTTGTCAATACTCGCATCAAAAATGTCAGTTGTTTCAACTTAGGTACGGTATTTAAGTAAGAAAGAACACACGCCAATGATAGTTCAAGCACTGTCAATCTTGGCCGGCAAGTAGGAGCAGCCACGATGAATTCGACCGATAAATATACGAATTTTTTTGCCAAGCCGGGCGAGCGGCGGTCAGCCAACGACGTTCCTCATAACGGAGTCTACGCGATCACAAGAAGAGGATGTCAGGCTCAACCTTGTCTTACAGTCTGCGAACACGTTACGTCAGAACAGTTAGACGAAGCGAATGAATTAATATTGTGGATGCAAACAAATTTTACTTTATGAATACAATAGGACAGTGTGAAATGAGCAGACAAACTCAATCTGCCAGACGCAAAAGTAGATCTCATCACTAGCAGCTGGTTGAAAATCCAACCGCCTTAAAAATATGATAGTTAAAACCATTCTGGTATTGTCGTGGCCCTAAACCATGTTTAAAGCACACTTAAATCAATATGATAGTAAGCGATATGGTTGCCTGCATGAAGCTTATTGAATGGGCTTTTTTGTGCTGCATCATACATGACTTCTAGACTCAGCCTGTTCATGAGCTTGCATGTAGACATCTAACCCGCTCCGCCCACTCTACTGCCAAGCTGTGGCAGCGGACTGTGGCGTAAACTAACTCATTTAGTTTACGGAGTACGAACGCGAAGAAACTGTCGTGGCCTAAAATATATTCCAGGTTTCTGAATGATTTTTTTTAATATACTTTTAATTAAACGAATGCGAACGCGGCTATTCACATAACTTGGATTACGTCCATACAATGTCCATTTCCCTGACGTGTGAGCGCTTAGAGTAGACGAAGGCGTGTGCATACATACTGTATATGGCTTAGAATTGAATAGAAGTGTCGGCGTTGAAGAAATAGGCCCATGGCCTGCTAATTGCCGATTCTTGGACTTTTCGTGACTTGATTCACAAGGGATCCGGCCTTTGGAACCCGATCTTTCCATAGCTGACGATTGATTGAGATAGCTGCTGGACTTATTGCCTGTTCCGTAATTTGCGAGGCATTTTAAGACTGAATGTGACACACTCGTCCTTATATTTCAATTATAGTTCCGTTTCAATAAGCAAACGTCAAAAGAAGATCAATTTCTCCTCTTATCCGTATACATTGTGAGCGTTAATAGGAAATTTTAACATTATTATTATTGCCAGACGTACTATTCTGTAATTCTGACCGCGAGTATATGGTGCTGCTGCGCGGCGTGCAGCGCTGAATGCTTGCTGCGCCGCGTGCAACGCTGAATGCTTGCTGCGCGGCGTGCAGCGCTGAATGCTTGCTGCGCGGCGTGCAGCGCTGAATGCTTGCTGCGCGGCGTGCAGCGCTAAATGCTTGCTGCGCGGCGTGCAGCGCTGAATGCTTGCTGCGCCGCGTGCAGCGCTGAATGCTTGCTGCGCGGCGTGCAGCGCTGAATGCTTGCTGCGCGGCATGCAGCGCTGAATGCTTGCTGCGCGGCGTGCAGCGCTGAACGCTTGCTGGGCCGCCATAGTCAGGTTAACCTTGGCCCACTCACAGATTCCGGTCAATCCACCAGACTTTTGATCTCACGGCACACGTGAGTCACGCCACGAGCTCCCCTGGACAAGCAAACAACAAACACATTGAATAATATCCAAGCCTTAGTTGAACATTAATATGATATGGAAAGAACTTTCGTACCCTGAAAGATGATGCCGTAGCCCGCCGTAGGTGTGCTGTTCGGCGACCTCAGCAAGTTGCATGCAAGTCCAGCTGCACAGACTGGCTCTGTCTCATTCACTTGACCTCATGCCATCCTCCGTGTTCATATGTGGCAGATGCAACACTTTGAATAGACCAGAAAATTAAAATCACTGTCGCCACAACATAGTGGTCATATAATCCATTCGGGATCACATGCTTAAATATCAAGGCCAAATTCAAATAATACTATACTTGCGTCATGAAAAGCGACACAGTACACAGCGCACCAACCTCACAACTCTGCGACTTGCGGAACACTGAATGAGAGTCGGACTGTCGGAGTCTCGGAGACTCGGAGTTCGGACACACGATAGTAGTCTGCACCACCCGCATGCCAACCAGCACCTACTCTGATGCAGTTCAGCCGAATTCGATTGATGACCTCAATATTTTAACCGGAAGACCATCGTAAGAAATTAAGTATCATTCATTTTCAGTTTATTGTTGACCCAAAATGTAAGGTATCATTTCTTTAATTGATGTCTAGAGTAACATATTCAGTGATACCTGCCGTCAGTTTCAGACTTCGAACTAGCCGGTTTATCTGGATCCCTCTCATGCAGTTTGGGTGTCGTCATATATTCTGGTATAGCTTTATAATGCAGTTTTATGACTGTCAGCATTACGCTGCGTCCTCACATGTAGTCTACTCTTTGAAAAGAGACAGGTTGGGCAGAAATTGTGCTGCACGATCTTCATTGATGCTTTCGTTGTATATTCTGTCGCTGAATGAGGTTAGGGTAGATGCATAATTGAGTTGTTCTGAAAAAATCCAGTAATATTAAAACTAATCGAACTGCATGTACTTCAATGCCTCCAATCTTCCTGTAGCTGAGCCAGAAACTTGATATTATCATTTCAGAACATCCTTCAGCCAGTTTCCAGAATGTTCTTAACATCTCTTCCCTACTAACAAGTAACAATGCGAAATAATTNTCACTGATGAACAACTGGCAGGACGGCTTCACTGATGAACAACTGGCAGGACGGCTTCACTGATGATCAACTGGCAGTTAAAAACACAATCGTCGGACCACTTGCAGAAAAGCACCGCATAATTACCTCAATAACTAAGTATATTTATATGGGCAACACACAACCTGATCTGTGTACGAATGGGTGAAAACCGCATCATTATTTGCGGAATTAGCGGCGTAATTTGCCATTTAAATAAGCAAGTTTGTTTAATTCTCTTTCCTGTACCTTTTTCTCCGTGCAATGTGCGGAGCTATCGATCATTAGGGCGACTTCATCACGCTTGTTCGGAAACTGTAGGTTATTACTTATTATTGTAACGTTCAGTGGGTCTTTCTATGACGGACTCTGTATAAATTCTCATAATACATCGATACTGAGGCTACATAAAGTTGCATCAAACAAAATGTTATACGTGAGAGGGATGTGAGAGAGTGGTGAGAGGGACTGGTGTGCTGAAATGACAGTGGGGACAGGGATGGGTGAGGTGAGAGATTAGTGAAAGAAACGGGAGGAAGTGATGTGAGAGAGTGGTGAAAGGTACGGGTGATGTGATGTGAGAGAGTGGTTAGAGCGACGGGTGAGGTAATATGAAAGAGTGAGTGAAAGGTTCGGGTGATGTGATGTAAGAAAATGGTTACAGGGACGGGTGAGGTGATATGAAAGAGTGAGTGAAAGGTACGGGTGAGGTGAAGTGAGAGTGTGATGACAGGGGCTGGTGAGGTGATAAAAAAGAGTGGTGACAGAGACGGGTGAGGGGATGTGAGAGAGCGAGTGAAAGATACGGGTGAGGTGATAGGAGAGAGTGAGTGAAAGGTACGGGAGAGGTGATATGAGAGAGTGAGTGAAAGGTACGGGTGAGGTGATATGAGAGAGTGAGTGAAAGGTACGGGTGAGGTGATATGAGAGAGTGAGTGAAAGGTACGGGTGAGGTGATATGAGAGAGTGAGTGAATGGTACGGGTGAGGTGATGTGAGAAAGTGATGTCAGACTATTTTAAAAGAACATATGCAATGAACCTACCTTTAGCGATTTAATTTTGCACGCGGATTTCGTTTTAATAAATGTGTTTTTTCTTCATGCTTGAACATGAAATTTGAAACAAGAACCAACACCAGGGGCCACAGCTATAAATTAAAAAAACTGCGCTGCAACTTCTCCACGCGACAAAATTTCTTCTCGCTTCGAATCACCGACATGTGGAACAGCCTCCCCGATGACACCGTTGGCGCTCCAAGTATGAACACGTTCGAGAACAGACTAGATAAAGCTATGGAAAAATATATGTTCAGATTTGAAATGCCTAGCACCATATCGAACCCGATGGAAGTCGAGTAGCTATTTCAAACTTTCGTCAGTCGTGAATAGATCCGGTCAAATGACACGATTTTAGATCTTCTGTGAACAAGGCACGAAAAGGAAAAGAATCGGCGACAGGCCACATCAGGCCTACACTGCAGCGCCGAGATCACTATAGGTGCTTGTACACAGAGATAGTGCAGACGGCTAGTAGATCTGGCAAGTGTTGCTCGCTTGGTGACTATCCGGCTAGTAAGCCTGTACACAAGGAGAGTATAAAGGTGCCGCTATCTTCTCGTTCGCGCCCGCTAGTGTGTCGTTAGAAGCCGTCGAGTGCGGTCTGTGAGAATGGATGGTGAGGACGAGTTTGAAGCCGCTTTTGATGAAGCCATTGATGAAATTGTTTTAGCTTTGAGTGAGGAGGTTCAAAACTATGCCATTGAACGTAGAGTTTGGGTGAAGGACTGGGTTGGACGAAGAAATAATTTAGGAGCATCATCCACTTTGTTTCGTGAACTTTCCGCAGAAGATCCTTTAGCATATAAGCGACACTTGAGAATGACTGTTGACCAATTTAATGAGCTTTTGAGCATAATTGAGCCCCAGATATGAAACGTCCGGCACAATTAAACCGTGGCTAATTAGGTCCTCTTTCAGTTTCATAAGGCTAGTTTCTCGCTTCACTTTGTTTAAATAACTAGCATGGCGAATATTCCACATCACTTCATATTTTTGGAATATCTCCAAGAACAATTTAATATCCTCCGAACTCCACTTTGGTGGGTTCGGAGGATATCGGCGCATGCCTCTGAAGCGGCTGAACCCCTATACACGAGGCTAGTAGCGTGGACAGTTCAAGCGCCGGATGAACTAGCGGCTAGTACTATCCCTGTGTACAGGCACCTTATGTTATTTTATGTTATGTTATGCTCCGTTCAACTTGCAAACTGAAGATAATGAGGAATTTTGAGCCAGTAGTTGGTTAACCTTATGTTGCCAGGAAAATATATATTTTTTAATTTGAGAATCTCGCTTTCCAAAAGCCAGTCATTGCAAAAGAGTCTTCCGATGAATAATTTTAAAAAAAACATGCGTTATTTAAGGAACGTTTGTTCCAAATAAATTTTAGCGGTTAACGTGATATCCTGGCACTATAAGCATTGCAGATGCGTGAAAAGTAGCCCATGTGTATCTCTATCCGGGTATTTGATAAAAACGGAGAGCGTGTAAAATAGTCCGATTCCGAGATGTCGAATTCAAGCGCTTATTTTGAAATTGTAGTGCACATAGCCAGCTGCGTTCATCGAGCAATCATCTAGTTTGTTCATCCTGATTCCGGGATGCCTGCAGCTGCCGGAGACCACCGCTAAGGCTTCCGTGTTTAGAAATTAAAATGAATTTTCATGATCTCTTCTGGTCCTCTCTCAAGATCAAGAACGCAGCCTATAGTGAGGCTAACACTTCGTGACAAGTTGACAGAAACATTATCAGATGGCAGACGCCAACCACCAGGTCCAGAGAGATCACATCTGTAGTGACGCGAATTTTTATGTATCTCTCATTGGCACTGCCTTTTCTTGATAACATCATAAATAATTGTATTAAACCTTCAAACTTGTGTTTATCAACCTCTTTAACCATATGTCACTTCACACTTGATCTATCTTGTTCTCAATTGTTTATTATGGATTTCATTAATAAACCATTGAAAATATATCCAGTCAGTAAATCATCAATTCTCAAGGTCAAGCAATCAGACAAGCAGGAATAACATTTGTGTAGTTCCTAAATAGGCCTAATAAAAAGTTTAGTAGGTAGCTAAATGGCAAAAATACTTTATGTTTAAATTGTGCCATCAAATATTGTGAAATATGTTTGGAATGCATCAAAAATACTTAAAATTGTGGCATAATGGGAAACAGAGTTTTTAGACTCTTCTTCAAGTTCAATTTTGAGTACTATAAGTAGTTTACTTTACTGTAAGTCTGTACTCAGTACTCACTGTAGTTAAGCTCCTGTCATTTACTTAAAGGAGTCTGGAGACCTTTTTGGTCAAAAATCTAAAATTGTGGCTTCTCTGGTTTTTAGTACATATCATTTTAAAGGTCCAAAAGATGCGCATCTAATGACTGATGAGCTATGAGCCCAAAACCACTTTTGTGCATTAATTTGTTCGTTTACAACAGCCATTGAAGTGCAAGTAAAACTTATACCTTCAATGATGACAAATTTCAGTTTTTTTGGCTCTTCTGAAAATTTAAAGTTTTGCACCTTAGACCTTAAAATCTATCTCTTCCTATCCTATGATTTCCATTTTCCAAGCTGCAGCAATAAGAGACCAGGGTGCAGAGGGTGGAACTTGGAAGCAGCGTCGCACCGTCGCCAATATAAAAATTATAAGGGTTTTTAGGCCCAAAGCGTCGCCAACTATTTTCAAGAAGCGTCGGCAGCGTCGCCGGGTAATTTTTAATGAAAAGCTATTTACATGGAGCATTGAAAGCAAGTGTCTACTGAACATGTGATAATGCAGTCTAACCGCTCTAATGTGACCGCAACACGCTCAACATGTGACTGCAACATGCTCAACCTAGTCTGGAAAAGTCCTATTTTTGTCTGAAATATCGCGGCTCTAATATCATATAATTTCAGTAGGTATGAAATCTCGCGGCTCGAATGTCATAAATTTTTGTTTGATTAAAAAATCGCTGGAATCACGGCTGGCAAATCCATAAAACCACGGCTCGAAAAATTCAGTCGCGGCTCGCCAAGTAGATATATTCCATACTAGTGCTCAACTTAGTCAACTATGCAATCGCAAACTTGTTTACATTTGCGTAGTATATTTTGGCAGGAACTCATTGGAACTGATTTCAGGACAAGCTTTACTGCATCCTGATCCATCCAACATACCGGAAACCTTAATTTTTTCTAAATTGTTGGCCGAAGACTGACAAATATATTAAATGCAAGAATTTCAATCTAAATGTGTCAGCAAGATCTTCTGAAGGGGTAAATTTTGCTATTGAAGCGTCGCCAAAGATCTTGCAATATTCATCCACTCTCTGCACAGTGGATAAGAGATATACCATTCAATTTGTAAGGAAAATCTCTAGAAACCATCCAATCATTTTTTTTATTTCGTTATAGTTTGGATTATATATTGGAAAAGGGGTTCAGGGTAGCCTGGGTAGGGGTCCTAGGGAAAATTTTCAATTTTTGGGAAAATTTTGGAAAATCCCCCTCCCTCCCGAACAAATTCGAAATTAAAAAAAATTGTCGGATTGATTTTAGATATGTTTGTTAACTTCATTACAAATTGAATGATATGTCTCTTGATGTTGTAGTACCGTCAAATGGGGTAAAAAGGGACGGGCGGGGTAAATCAGGATGCGCGTCCCACATTTTGTAGAAATATTGTAGGGTAAACGCGGTATATTCCGACACATTAAGGACGCATCGAGAAATGAAAAACTATAAAAAAATAACCGTATGCGTTACTTGAGTTCTGTTTGCTTCATGTGACTTGCAAAACACCATACTACGCGCCAGCAACGATGAAACGTCACAAAATGTTGCCATATTTATTTAAAAGCCTTTAGAATGCAAACCTACCAAATCCGTATATTCCGACACTGTGTGTGGCAATATTCGGCACGTGGTGAGGCGTATTCCGTCCGCGCTTCAAATTCTACTGATACGTAATGCCGTCATCCACATGTTCAAATTCTGTTTGCTGTGTGAGCTGTATTGGAATACAACACAGCTTTGAATTAGAACACTAATGAATATTGAACACTACTTAATTACGCTTTTAATTAACAACTATTAAGCTTTTAATTAAGCAAATTTTAATTTTTGTACATAGCTTGGAACGATCTGTGTGTGTTCAATTCAAGTTGTGACGGAATTAGTTTTCATGTGTCTAAATCCATTTCTCAACCTAATCATCTATTAATTTATTTACCACTTGAAATCAGCAAATACAAGTACCTATACTTAAAGGATTCCTAATATATTCACAGATGTATTTAAAAGTCTCAAACCATAATATTCTTCCTATACAAACAGTTATTCACTATTTGGTAGAGCAAGGTCAACTGTCAAATTTGACACATTTTTCGATGATCTCACTGGGTAGCGTGCATTGTCTATCTTTGGATCTCAATATTTTCCCGCTAGATGACCAAGACCTAGTGTTTTGGCATTAGTTCGACGCGCAAATGTATAATGTCACCATTTCAACCATCAACGAACGCATGGAACTAAAACAAAGCTTAATATAAAGGAAAAACTAGGGAGGTGACGGAATTACCCACGATGTCGGAATATACCGCGTTTACCCTAGCAGCTAAACTAATCTGGACAAGGTCGTTGTCAATGCTCAATGGCATGTCCATGGATACAGTAATATCACATTAATAATACAGTAATTAATGAATATGGTAATATAATATCAATAAAGGAAAGACAAGTAAAAATCATAGAAAATGTCATTTATTTTACATCTACATCATCTACAGTGAAAGAGGAGGACTTCAAAGTACTGTTAGTAATGGATGAGTACACTCTGCATGCTTCAAACGTTTTAAAATTAACTTTTATTGCAAGTGTCCTGGATTACCCCGTTCCCAGGGGTAAATTGGGATGGTTTTATTTTGCGTCTGGCACCTTACGAATAGCATGTGGAAATTTTTTGAAGATGCCATTGGATAGCCCTAGCAAAGAGCTATAAAATGAGCCCAAACGTGTTTCTGAAATGTTTCATGGTAAGAAGTTATTAACAAAAAATGCTCAAAACCGTCCCTTTTTACCCTGTTTGACGGTATGTTTAATGAATGAGGAGATAGATTTCTACGTACCCCATTTTTTAGCAGTTTTCTATCAATTCCATGTTTTCTTTAATTTTTTTCAAATTCACACGAACAAAAAAGTTATCGATTTCTGTTTTTCATATGTGTACCAAGTTTCAAAATGATCCGTCCATAAATAAAAAAGTTTTTTTTAACAAAACAGTCCCCTTAAGTATCATAGATACCAGCATTATCATACATACCTAACTTCAATGCCCAGTGGGCAGTGTCAGACTGGCAGTGAGCAACATTAGGCAATAGGCAATCACATTTGATGCTTTAGCTTTAGCATCATATTCTGTCTGCTGCCCATCAGCAGCCCATGGTTAAGAAGATGTACCAGTTGCATGGAAATTAATATTGTCATTTTATCAATCTGCACAGTGCGGGTAATGGCTGATACTGATAGATGATACTGTTATGGAATTTCATTCAATCAAAACTGACATGGTGACACATGAAATAATTTTCTGCAAAAAGGGCAAAAAGAATGAGATGCCAGGGTGCAGGCAGCGTCACCAATATATGAATTTTTAGTCCAAAGTGTTGCCAGCCATTTTCAAGATACATTGCTGGGTTATTTTTAATAGGAAATGCTGTTAACAACTTTGATGGTAGGTACCTATATCCTTTACTCTCAATGCACTGCATCATTGCAACTGATTTCTGGACAAGCTTCACTGCATCCTGATCCATTGGACGCACCAAAAATCTTACTGTGTGCGCTTGCAGTCTTATAGATTTGCAATAATTGCAATAATTTCAAAGTAATTTCTAAAATGCAATAATTTCAATCCAAATGTGTCAGCAAGATCTCCTGAAGGCATAAATTTTGCTACTGATGCATTGTCAAAGATCTTTTGATATTCACCCACTTTCTGGCTCCTGCACCCGGGATGAGATGGAGAGCACTGATAAACACAAATATAGATAATGTTCACTAGTATTAATGTCAAGATTAAAAATAATTTAACATTAACTCTGAACTGGGGGAGCATTACTTTCCCAAGTGGGATCCGTCATCCAAGTAACCACCACTCTCCAGCAATAAGAGTGACACCGCATAACACCACAACATTTCTTCAAAATGTCAAAGGACTGTCATGACTTACCCTGCCTGACTCCTATCACCCCATTTGATGGTATATTTCACTTTCAATTTTACATCGAAAAAATTTTTTATGTTACCATTTGTTTATGTTATGTTGATATGTTTTATGTTTATGTTATTATTGCAATTTTTATGTTACCTGCTACACTGCTGAAGTGCTCAAGAATCCTAACTCCTATCAATGGTACTAAAGTCCCCACAGCAGTGAGCACTTTGGTTGCAAGTTGCAACCTACATAACACTCCTACTGCCGTGCTGCAGAGTACTGCCCAGTTGACAGGTCCCAATTTAAGATATTGGGCCAAAGTTTCCTAAAATTGTGGGTAAAAATTATCATTATAGAATAGACTTTAAAAATCTTGGCCAAAAATAGGCTTTTTTCTCTTATTTTTCACTAAAAAAACTGAGAAGAGTACGAAAAATGTGTAATATTGACCATATTCATGTGCTTTTATGTCAACATGCAACTTCATGTGTGGCTTCTGCTCAATTTTCCTGTTAGACAGCCTACTGGCGTTGATTATAAGCTATAAATTCTTCTAATATAACTAAGCCTGTGAGTGCTGAGCCACAACATTTTAACTTCTAGCACGATCAAGAAGGTGCAGCTTCTTACTTATTTGGCAATCAAACCCTACAAATTGTAATTCTGGGTTTCTGATTTTCAAATTGTAAACTTCTCTATTACTATTACGTTGTGATCAAATTCAACATTCCACAACTCTGTCAATTGCAGTTCTGACCACATTAACCTGCATTGTGTGGTTTTTGTTAATGACTCAGACATTTTTAGACTCTTCCTCAAGTTCATTTTAGAGTACCAACATTACCTATATTCATATAAGTAGACCAGTAAACTATCATGGCTGGCAGCATTATCATAAATAAGATATTGGTCTTGAATAGATGAGCAAATTCAAATTGAACTGATGTTAAAAATTTCTAGTTTGCCACTATGCTTGACAAGTTGCACACTGGCAGTTCAGTGCAGTGTCTGCTGAGTGCCAAGTGGCAAATCATGTGTCAAACTGTCAATGTCATTGACATTAACCCTTGACAAATTGGCAAGTTCAATTTCAAGTTGACAGGCAGAATGCAGACTATGCAGTGACAGTTAGAATTTATGACATTTAATTTGTGCTCTCAATTTAATTTGTTTTGTGCCATAATTTAAATACATACTCCACCACTCGGGGCACAACTACACAAGTCACAACCAGCTACTAGATTTTTATTTATTGTTTGCAAATTATTCATCCATAAAAACATTGGTAATGGTCAAAGCCTAACCCATTTGCAACATGTATTCTGTTATTAATTTCTTTTATTGCTAGGCCAAGGTACAAGTTTTAAGTTGAGTGAGGGCTGAATTATACCAGTAATTGGGCAGTGGGCGATCAGTCTTACTCTCTGACAATTCAAGCTCATCAAGATGAACCAATTGGTATTTTTAAATTTGTTTGTGGATGTTTTATATTATTACTATTTAATTAAATGTAACTTTTCTTCCTAAGTACAGCCGTGAGAGTGATAAGACATAAGGCATGCGTGCAGGTTGTGTCATATGTGGCGATGTCTTCATGCCTAACATTGAAGTGTCGGCCACACCGTGTGGTCACATCTTTCACACTATATGTGTTGCTCAGTGGTTTGAGAGGTATGCCAAGTAGTTTTGTAATTTGGTACCTATTAAAAATTCTGTAATTATATCAATTGAGATAGTATATTATAATTTTTAATATATATTATTCTGGAATTGTGGTTCATCAACCACAAAGTTTTTAGTATATTACTGAAGGCATGTATATAAAAAGATTGCTTGTTATTTTTTCATGTTCCTTCAATGCCATAGCTGATGACGCTGTGCACAGTATCTATTGTGTTGACTTGTACCTATATAATGTTTGCTCCTTATTTATATTTGTCTTTGTTGTGCTGTTTCTAAGCTAAGGCTTCACAAGTGATCATTCATGAGTTTTTATAGGAAATTAATGAGTAATTTTTTGACTTGAATCAGGATTATCACCAAAAATTTTCCTTGTGGCTAATCATTTATTCAAATTTCATTCCTTTCAAATATTATACACTGTGACTTATAAAAATGAAGTTTTTTTTAATAGTATTATGGGTAAATTTTATTGTCACTGTTATTGATGTCACTCATTGGACATTGATTAGAGTGACATCATTCATTTTTCCTCGCAGATCCAAGACTTGTCCACAATGTCGTTTCTCTGGCAAGATGAAGCTTCTACGTCTTTATTTTGATGAAAGCAATAATGATAATAATCAAGTTGATGCTGAGACTTTGCAATGTAACCTAGATAATGCAAAGGTAAGCAGGCAGTCTATATGCTACTAGTTCCTTAACACAAAATTGATTTGATTAATATTATAAAAATTTATACATTTTTTATGACCACCATACTGAGCTTGCTAGGAAGCCTGAGATTTATCCTTATCCCATTTTAGATTCTGTAAACCTCAAACAACTATACATCAGAGGACCTTTTTGGCGAACTTGTAATAATATTAAAAGTGTCCATGCCTTTTCCTATCATTGAACAAAAGTAGATTCTAGCTGTTTATATTATGAATGTGCTTGAAATTATAATTATTGTTTTTTAATATATACAATTGAGCCAATATTTTCCAAGGAATAGAAGGAATATTTATCTATGTAGAGGTCTCTAGCCCATGATTACATCAGTAGTCCTCTTGCCCACTGTAGTGATTGGGATCCATTTGATTGACTTTTAATGTAATTTAATACGTAGTCGATATAAAATTTGTCAATGTTTATGCTCTCATTTTACTAAAGGTTGTTTCAGTTTCCTACTGTCCCAGATGATAATATTCAATAAGAAGTGCCTCAGGTTTTCTTTGTCACATTATTATAAAATATCCCAATTCTATTGTGAAGACATGTGTATGATATGCATTTAATGAAATTTTGTTAACAGTTTCAAGTGAGCTTGAAGGAGCAAGAACTGCGGAACTTGAAAGAAGACTTAGCAAAACAGAAAGAAATAAGTGATAAACTGAGGTGAGTTTCTCAAGGGCTAGAAATTCCTGTACCATATGTTGAGGGCACAGCCTGCCCTCAGCAGGCCAGTATCTCACTGGTAGAGGTAGGGAGGAGGTGAAGAAGCAGGAGGAGAAGCATGGCGTGCAGCTGACATGTTCTTTATGTGGCAGGGAGGAGGTGAAGAAGCAGGAGGAGAAGCACGGCCTGCAGGCGACGCAGCTGAGCTCCATGAAGGCGCAGCTGCGGCTGCTCAGCGACGCGCAGCAGCGCAGCGAGGACCTCAGGCTGGAGCGAGACACCGCCAGGGCCAAGCTCAGCAGCCTGCAGGAGTGAGTGCTCCATGGCGCTGCTGCAGCGTGTGCTGCTCCATGCCGCTGCTGCTGCATGTGCAGCTTGATGTTAATTCATCTATCCTGAGGCGAACTTAATTAGTTTGATTACTGTATCTGACATAATCATCATTTTTAGGTATGAATTGTTACCGACATGCTAAGTAAGAGATTTTATTCACTATAATTAATTTGGTTATACCAATTTGTGTGAGGTGCTAGTTATAGCGACTTAAGTATTATTTTGCTCCAGTTTGTATTAGTGTAAATCGTACAGTTGTCATATTATATGAATCGTAAAGTTCTAATTAATTTTATGTAATTTGTACAGTTGTCATATATATTATATAACATACCTATTTTATTTATTTTATGTATGCAAGCGGATGAATTACAGTGTGGGCCTTCGTCCCAGAACATATTTTATTATTTTATCAACGCAAACGGATGAATGAGAGTTTGGGCCTTTGTCCCAGAACAATTTTATTAATTTTATTAATTAAGCGGATGACTGAGAGTTAGTTGATATGTGCAGACTACAGCTGCTGGTGGATGGCATGGAGGGAGAGGTGGCCATGATGCTGGAGCGCTACGGAGACTCCAGCAACGCTGCCACCAGGAACCTCGCCACCGTCTGCGTCTATCTTACCAAGTCAGCCTCGGGGGGAAAGGGTTGTGATCTCACCAGATGTTTACTCGTGTTTCTCTCTCATCATTTGTTTCTTTATTGGTAGATTTTGGCTGGCATAGATTCTCGGACTATGTTCTTGTTCACCAGGTATATAGTTGTGTTTCTCTCTCCTTATTTGTTTATTGGTAGAATTTGGCAGGTTTAGTTTCTCGGATTATGTTTTTTTATGTTATTTTGAATGCCGTCTTATTTCTTTATTGGTAGATTTTGGCTGACATAGTTTCTCGGACTATGTTCTTATTCACCAGATGTATACTCATGTTTCTCTCTGCTTATTTGTTTCTTTGTAGAATTTGGCACGCATATATTCTCGGACTATGTTTTTTTTATATTATTTTGGATGCCGTGTGAAGCAGCTTTGTCATGGACTCTGTGAACCTGAACTGGGTCACAGCAGGCATGTACCCGTCTATTTGTAACTCATGCAGACGTACACAGTCCATATGTATGGTGCAGACGTACACAGTCCATATGTATGGTGCAGACGTACACAGTCCATATGTATGGTGCAGACATACACAGTCCATATGTATGGTGCAGACGTACACAGTCCATACGTATGGTGCAGACGTACACAGTCCATATGTATGGTACCATATGTGCAGGGAGATGCAGACCCTCAGACAGAAGACCAAGGACCACCAGAACGACCTGAAGGTGCTCAGGAGCGAGCATAAAGCCGTGCAGCGTCTCCTGCAGCAGGCGCGACGTTGTCAGGTAATGTCCTATTAGTCTCCTGTTTGTGATGCACTCAGGGAATTCATGGGTCATTGTCCTAGAAACTATGCACTTAATTTACCCAAGCAATGAGAAGGCGGCGCACTGCGATGTGATTTCACCGAGCCAAATTTGCCCGTTCTATTCAGCCTATTGTGAATAAAATTGATTCGCAAAAGAAGATCTATCATAAGTCAAGTTTACTCAATAGAGATCTTTGATATGTCTAGTTGACACACAAAAGAAGAACAATCTTTAGTCAAGGTTACTCACTAGAGATCTTCGATGGGCCAACTTTATTCACAAGAGAAGTTTGATAATCCATGCAAACTCCAAAACATTGCAGTCATAACGCCCAAACTGCTAAGTTGTAATGCTCATATTTTGCACTGGTAACGCTTGATCTTTGTACCTGTAACACCCAAACTTCCAAGTTGTGACGTTCATACTTTGCACTCGTAACGCTCAAACTTTGCACTTGGAGCACAAAAACTTTCAAGTTGTAATGCTGAAACTTTGAAGTTGTAACGCTCACACTTTACACCTGTACCACCCAAACTTCCAAGTTGTAACGCCCAAACTTAGAAGTTGTAACGCACCAAAGCTCCAAGTAGCAGCTCCTAACGTGTCAAGTTGTGCAGGAGGAGAAGACGCAGCAGGTGGCGGCCCTGAGGGCGGACGTGTCGCGCCTGGAGGAGGAGAACCTCAGCCTCAGCGCCAAGCTCGCTGCCCTCGAGGCCTCCCTCGCCTCCCCTTCTGGTGGGGGGCTTCCCTCTATGTTGCTATGTTAAATAGCCATATGTTTTATCTGAAAATTATATGGCTGTTATTTTAAAATGCATCTGTTTTATTTGAAAATTTTATGTGTTGGAGATGTAGCTATATTATTTTTTGTGTCCCATTGTCTGTTGTTACTTTAAATAGGTATCTGTTTTATTTGAAAAATTTATGCCTGTTATTTTAAATAGACATCTGTTTTATTTGAAAATTTTATGGCTGTTATTTTAAATAGGCATCTGTTTTATTTGAAAATTATAATGGGATTGAGCTGTATATTATTTTTTTTGTGCCATAGAAAATTGAATGGTCGCAAGCTGTTTGAATTCATCATAAGATGAATTTTATAGTTTATTTGTTTTTCTCAACTCCAGCTCTACCAGTTTATCTTTATTAAATAGACTTTAACTGTATGAAATAATTAGTCCTGGCGTGATAGAGTTTGACCTGTGAACCTAGCATTTGATGCCCTAGCATTTTAACAATTATAATTAACTTATTATACATCACTTATAATTTATATCATTATAGGTGATAATTATAAGTGATATACATAATTATTAGTGATATATAGAATTATAAGTGATATACCGTAAGTCCTTATAATTAAGTCACTATATATCACTTGCTAGCTGAGACAAGCCCGTAGATGACGTGTAGTGCTGACGTAGATGACGTGTAGTGCTGACGTAGATGACGTGTAGTGCTGTGCAGGGGACGCGGCTCGAGGCGCCCTCCGTCGGCTGCTGCACGAGAACGTCACGCCCGTGTGCCTCAAGCGGCCTCACCCCTGCGCCACGGAGGTACAGCCCTCTCTTATATCCCTCCTTTTTACAACACTTCTCTCATAAATCCCTCTTTTTTACAACACTTCTCTCATAAATCCCTCTTTTTTACAACACTTCTCTTCTGTCGTGAATATCTCCTTTTTACAACACTTCTCTCCTCTCATAAATCCCTCTTATTTTCCTCAGTTTGTTGTATGTTTAATATTGTAATGACACCAGTGCGTCGTGTATCGCATGTATCAATGATTGCTGCGTTGATATGTCAATAACCTATAAATTGTTTTGAGAAAAAAACTTAGTTATCTTACTTCATAGAAGTCGTCTAAATTATATCATTTAAAGTCCGCCTTGAAATTGTCTGATATTGCAAGACGTGTTCTAATCTCTCCATGTTTCAGGACGCATCTAAGTCATCGCGCGCTCGCCTCGACTCAAGTGACAGTAACGCAGACTCGCTGGATCCCTCGCCCGCCTTCAATGATTCCATTGATCTCTTCGAAGACTCCATTGACTCTGTAGACCCTCAGACCGAGAGTCGTCTGCCCAGCCAAGACCCAGCCATCCAGCCCACTGGTGGTCTGTCTACCGAACAGCACGCAAGCGGGCTGTCCAGTACAGACCAGAACCTAGGGTCTGCGAGCAGGTTATCCAGCACCGACTTGCACCTCCAGCACTACGCCATGAATGTGAGCCTCTTGAAACCTTAATCGCCTCTTTTATGGGTAGTGTTACGTGATAGTGACACCAGGATAACTCTGGCTATCGACTTCCTACCACATTTGTGAATTATTGCTCCCGGGGTTTACATTCACAGCTCAGAAGAAGCTAAGGAGGCAGTTGGGAGGAGGGTAACGGGAAGCTAGGCCAAGATGGTAGCTGCTTCCAGAGGCTGTCACTCACACGGGTCATGGGGAGACGGGGCTAAAGCTGCGAGGGCGGGAGGGTAACGAATGATATGCTATGTAGATTGAAGCACTCCACCCTAGACAGAGAGCTATAGTAGCCCGAGAGAGTGTTAACTTATGCCGAGTATAGCAGGTGGTGAAGTCGGGCTTACCCTGCGAGGGTAGAGCAGGCAGAACAGAGGGTGGAGCAGGCAGAACAGAGGGTGGAGCAGGCAGAACAGAGGGTGGAGCAGGCAGAACAGAGGGTGGAGCAGGCAGATGGAGCAGGCAGAACAGAGGGGGGAGCAGACGTGAGGGGTCCAGGAGTGTCTCACGTCACCCTCGGAGTGGTGCGTGTGGTATGAGTGGAAGGAGACCGCTGTAGCTGGAGCTTTGAAGAATGAAGGAGCTTTGATATATTAATCATCAGGGTAAAGAGAGCGTAAAGTGACTTGGTTGTTCAACGTCCAGCATCACATTAACCCTCTACCGCCTGACACGAGTAACCGGAGTGACATTGCCACAAGCCTTCTATAATATTGCATAATACAATATCTTCCGTTTTGCATAATATTGTACAATACAAATTTTCCCCCAAAAAGGATAGGTTCTAGTGAGCGCAAAATGACTTGCACTGATGGTTGCCGCCACGTACGACAACTTTAAAATGTTCTCTGTTGCATACAAACGTCCTCAGATTGCTACACTCAATAGTTTACATATAATTCTATAATTATATTATATTTAAACTACGTAGACTATTAATACTTTATATGTATTAATAGTTTACATATAAGTTATGTTCCCGGAGAGTGACATACGGCGGTAGAGGATTAACTAATGACCATCAGGTCTATGATGTGACAAACTGGGCTAGTCCCTCCATTGTACTCGTGTTTCCCCTCCCTCATACTCGTACGCCCCCAACACTCCCCCAATACACCCCTCTGGGTGCAGGCGACGGTGGAGGGCGCTGGGTGCTCGCCGTACCTGCAGGTGAAGCGTGGCCCCCTGCAACTACCCCCCCGGCGCCCCGCCCCCCTCAACAAGCCCCCCTCACACACCATCTTCAACAAGAAGCTCTTCCCTGGCCGCGGTATGTTAACCTAGTAAGCTATGTATGTGGTTAGTCTATCTTAACCTTTCTATAGATGAAAGAAATTAATAACGGAAATTTGATGATATACCTCATTAAATGGCGCGGTATGTTAACATAACACCATCTATAGGACAGGTAATTACTCACGGAAATTTAATAAAATACCTCAATTAATAGCTTTAAAGTTGGTCGAAAGCAGACAAATTCAATCCTCACACGCGCAAGGATTAATTTGTTTTATTAATTCTTGACGTTTAATTAATTTGCTTGATTAATCCTTGCTTTGTTTAATTAATCCACGCGACGCCCACAAAATTAAGTATCAAGTGGGTTAACCAAATCTTTTTGTCAAGCCACTAAACTTCGACTGTACTCGACTGCACCCATTTTCTCGCAGTCACCCGCATTAGTTGCTTATAATCTCTTAACTGATTATCCTGGGATAAAGGTTACTGCCTGAGATTCCTAATTGACCAACAAAAATATTGAGACGCGAGGATTTTATGAATAATATTGATATGTAAACGGCAGATTATGATAAGTAACTGTAAAAAAAACAGAATAATGCGTGCCAAAGTAAGTACAACGTTTGCCTGGCATGAACCTAACTCCTTGGTCACAGATACATCACTCTTTCTACTCTTGGGGACTCCCTCCTCCCTCCCTTCGTCCCTTGCCGAAGAAATACATAATTGGCCTGACATAAACCTAACCCTTTGGTCAGAGATACATTGACCGCCGTCCCTACTCTTCGATTACGCTTCTTCAGTAGACGAAGGGCTTAGCATCTTCGCCGTCAGGGCACGGTGCGCCCGACAGTGATGATGACGGTGCATAACTCATGGTCTTGTGTTACAGGATCGAGCACGACGGGGCGTTCGCTGGAGGGCGGGCGCGCTGACCACGATGGTCTGGGGGGCCGCCACAAGGAAGATTATTTCCCGCAGCCTGCGTGCGTGCGGCTCAAGAAGCGCCCCACCACCACCACCAAGCTGCGCACCGCCGCCTCCCCTACCGTCAAGACCATCACCAACTTCTTCAGCAACACCTTCGGGGACACCTGACCATCACCAGCACCTTCTGGGACGCCTTACCATCCTGGCCATCACCAACACCTTCGGAGACACCTGACCATCACTAACTTCTTCACCAACACCTTCAGGGACACCTGACCATCACCAACACCTTCAGAGACACCTGACCATCACCAACAGTCCTCGGTTATGGCCCCTTTTTGAGCGCAACGTCTGACCATCACCAACAGTCCTTGGTTATGGCCCCCTGTATGAGCGCAACGTCTGACCATCACCAACAGTCCTCGGTTATGGCCCCCTGTATGAGCGCAACGTCTGACCATCACCAACAGTCCTCGGTTATTGCCCCCTGTATGAGCGCTGTGTAACACTTCATATGATGCGCCTGAAGCAGTTGGCCGCGTATGCCGGACGCTTCATCCAAGTGTCTCAGGAGAGTCGTCTGAACTTTGCTTCTAATTGCCCTAAAAGTTGCAGATTTAATCTTGTTTGATTTATTATGGAGTACTTGACGGCCGTAGTTAATGATTTGTACGGTACAATCATCTCCCCATTTACCTTCATATCTCACCAGTTACCCGCATATCTCACCAGTTACCTTCATCTCCCCAGTTACCCTCATCTCCCAGTTACCCTCATCTATAGATAACTTTAATCATGCAGCGTTAGGTTATTATTCTTCAGTGATATTTTAAGCGGAAGTCCCGTCTGTGATAATAGTGTAGCTCAACGTAACTCTTAAGTTTCAAGAGTAAACTGTGTCTTATTTTGTGACGTGTCTTTACTATTCCTTCTTACGGAGAGCGTTGATAAAAGTTGTTTTATTGACGGTGATTACCTTCTGTCTTATTCTATTACTGCATACGGCGGACTGTTGTATTGAAGCCTCGCCTTATGTTAGGGATCATGCGTAGCAATGATGCCTTCTCTGTAACATGTTTTCCTTCATTAGGCTTCCCCCGTAACGCGTCTTCTCAATAACAATTTCCTGTAACATGTTTCATCAACACCTCTCCTTTACATGCCTCTTCTCATTAACTCGTCTTGTTTCGGGGCGCCTTCGTCCCCCTCAGGTCCGGGGGGGGGCTGCATTGAGAAACTGGTCCCTGTGTTGTATCACCTGAAAAATTCTCATTTTTATCGAAGTATCTATTATGTATTTATCAGATTTGACGTGCACTTTCGTTTGTGTCAGTACACATGTCCCTTCGAAGAAAATACGATTATACATTATCTAATTGATGTGGATAGGCTGTGTGGGCGCGACCCTGCCTGCAACGCACGGCTACTTCAGATCCCAATCCTCCCCCTGCTGTTAAGACCAATTAAATACCACAGTCTTCACATTGCGCACTTGTGTGCTTTCATGTTTTTTGCGGTCCCCTCGAAGATATACAGAAGTAATTTGCTATACGTTTCTAAAGAAAATTTGATCGAAAGTAATACATGAGGCTTGACGATAATTAAGTTTTTAACATCTTAATTTTCCGTGTCATTCGCATTTCACTTAAAGCTTAAGTTATGGCAAGATTATTTTCAACATTTCCAAGTGTACTCGAAACCTGCAATTTTAGTGGCTTGCTGAGTGACTTGCTATTATACAAACATCATGACGGAACATTTAAACAAAAAGTCGATGATGGTTTCTTGAAATTATGTTACTCAATTGATTTAATTGGAACGAATTCAATTAGAACAGTGTTCAGAGCAAAACGTCTGCATTATATTCAATTTAAATCTTATGTTGTATTCTTGGACATTCTGCATCAAAAAGTTGGCTTACGGTTACAAGATGCTGGCAGTACTCTCAACTTCGATTATCATATCATAGTGACGTCGTCACTGAAGAGTATGTCTGGTGTGGCATGTCGCCGATTCTCGTACTTTTCGTGACTTGTCCACGGGATTCCCTCACCTATGCAGAAATGACCTCCAATTAACACACGCCCAAAAAGTACCTTGGCTCTCCCAGAACACGGCCAGTATAGAGCCGATAAACTCATAGAATACCTAAGGGCAATAAATGTGTGTAACAGCTATAACCCGGCATGTGATGTACCATTAAACATATGATGTACCCCTATAGTGCCTATACAGATGATGTACCATAATACATATGATGTCCCCCATTACAGATGATGTACCATAAAACATGTGATGTACTCCAATCTCAATCCATGACGACCAACGCAACATTTGGTTCGAGATAGCTCGATCTGAAGCGCTAGCAACTAAAGCCACAAAAACAGACAAATTATTGTCCACAGGAGATCTAAAAACATGTCCCCTGACCGGATCTTTTCAAAACTGACGATAGTTTGAAATATTTACTAGACTTCCATCGGGTTCGATATGGTGCTAGGCATTTCAAATCTGAACACATATTTCTCCATAGCTTTATCTAGTCTGTTCTTGAACGCGTTCATACTCGGAGCGTCAACGATGTCATCGGGAAGAGTGTTCCACATGTCGGTGTCTCAAAGCGAGAAACGTAGAAAAAGTGTTGTCGCGTGGAGTTTCACCGCAGTTATTCAGTTTATAGCTGTGGCCCCTGGTGTTGGTTCTAGTTTCAAATTCTATTAATCCTTCTGGGACTTGGGTCAATATGTAATACAAGCCATGAGTGTACTTGTATATTTCAATGAGGTCACCACGCAGGCGACGATAACAGAGACTGGGAAGTTTCCTCATCTTCAATCTTTCATAAAATGACTTGCCGTTAGTTATGAAAACAATCAAAACCTGGCAACTGAACGTCAACAGATGAAATTTCTTCCCGTGATTTTTGGGGGGTGTTTCTGTAATACAAATAATGTCTATACACTCGTCTGCGATAACAGTTCATTTCTTTTTTGTTCAAAACTTTTACCGTGGAATTCTTGCGAGTCTTTGACCTGATTTTCTGTGCTTTTCGGTTCTGATTTTCTGTGCTGATAGTGGATATATACAAGGGATCATTATTACACTATCTTTCGTTTTCCGGAAATTTGAAAACTACGGATGGATTTTACTTCGCTGTTGTGTTTACACTAGGAACTGGAAAACGACTGTTGCTCAGACTCAGAAAGGAGCTTTTTTGAGTAACAATATGGTGGAACCGCGACTTCGCCCTTGGCTTTGCCTGAAGTCCCGCAAGCTAGAATGTGCATCTGCAAGAATTAGAATTGGGCATGCAGGTGTCAGGAGCTATCTGCACAGGTTTAAAATGAGCGATTCTGATCAGTGCACCACCTGCAACACAACAGACACAATTGTTCACTTTCTTCTGGACTGTCAACGTCATGTGCAACCAAGACAAGAGCTACTAAGTAACTTGAGAAGCATCAATGTAGAACTTAACCTTTGTAATCTCCTGGGGGGAGGTAACTTTAGTGATAAGGTGTCACAGAAAATCTCTCAATTTTTCAATGTATTTATTTTAAAGTCAGGTAGGCTAAGTGATCTTTAGATGAGCGCCTTGCAGAGCTAGAGCAGTATATATGGAAGCATGATAGAATTGTTAATGCATGGCTACTGCTGATATATGTTTTAATTTAGCAAGTAGATCATCTAGGTATTTTTTTTCAATATTATTATAATTATGTATATATTTCTATTATTATTGTTATTATTATTATTATTTTTTTTTTAATGAAGGCTATTATATTAGCAGCCCTTACTTATCTAAATTACATTAGCAGTAACTCATTTCATTTACTAATATATGTTCCCTGTAAACTTCTACCCAATCCTGCACTGAGCTTACATCAGCCAACCTCACTAAATGGCAGCAATTAACTTCATATACAAAGAAGCTGAAAACCCCAAGCTATAAGCTCTCAGGCCCAACGGTCATCCATCTGGCAGACCTGCGGCTTTAAGTCCACTCCAAGTGGACACCCTGCAAAGAAAGAAAGAAAGTTGTGTTTACAAAGGGTACGCAGCCGTAGACCAGCAAATTCCTCAACAGATGCTAGGGATAGGGAAAGTTTGAGCCGTGCAGGCAGTTTAAGTTAGGTAGGATTTTCAATGAGTTGTTAGAGAGCCAATTAATTAAAGTGATGAATTAAAGTGATTAATTAAAATAGTAGAAGTGACTTAAGTGAATGATTAGAGTGATCAATTAAAGAAAATTAAGTGATTAATTAATTGATTAACAACTATAACTCAAAACTCGGTCGTGGGGCCACATTGGACTAGTCTTCAGAGGCTCCCGCAAATTTGAAAAGAAAAAAAAAAAAANAAGGATAGAGATTAGTGTAATTCTATACGTGCGTGAAGATTTAGGGTAATTTCACACATACGTTTAAATATGTAGGGTAATTTGAATCCACCTGTTGGGTGCGGTGGAGTCATAACACGGAGACGGGAGTCTGACTCTGACTGTGGCCGAGTTAACATAGCTCCTGGTAAAACGTAAATACGATCTCTGTGGTTTAGATATGCCAAAGCCTAATCAGAACGGCTTTCAAGCTCCAGGACCTCCTGGAAGCTTAGAAAGTAATGCAGAAAATCTAACTGAATCTTAAATGGAACACTTTGTAAACACAGGTGATGACTGGGCTCAGTGGGCTGTGGGCTGAAGATCACATGTGTGAAGAAGTGAATTCTGATAGACCAAAGAGGAAAGCAACAGAAGATATGACCCCTGGTACTCAGCAGAAAAGAACCCATCAATCTAACAATGAAAGTGATCTAGTGAGAGAAATATACCCTATTCAGAAAAACAAATTGATTAACATTGAGACTGAGACTCTGAGAGAACCAATAGTAGTAACAATGGAAACGATCGATTGCCAGAAAAAATTGATAAAGCCAAAAGACAATATACAATGCATGGAAGTTCAACACTAGTACATAATTTCTTACTTCATGGTTCTGATGCTAACTTGAATATGATTCTGTCTTAGTTTTCTCAGCTCTCAGGCACATGGTGGTTTTTTAGCAAATCCTTGGGCATTTAGCCCCAGCACTCCAGCAGGCACTCCGCAGGCACTGTGGCGCTCCAAAGCAGAAAAAACCTAGATCTAGGTTTTTTGCTTCCCACTAGGTTTCTAGGTTTTTCATTAACAAACTGATCCTAATCTAATTTTTTTCAGAATGGTGCACTCACCCTTGCCTTTTCGAGCAAATGTTTCACATGAATCTTTCTAAACATCCAAATAAGTAATTTCAACTATTTAAAACAATATTATTAATGCAGCAGATGCATTTTTGTGCATTTACTGCAGCTGCATCTGAAGTGAGGGGCCATGCCATTGGTTCTTAGCTAATGCCTAATGCCCTAAAGGAACCAATCAGACTGCACTGAAAGCAGAAATCAGTCAACAGTTATAGCCAAGAAAGGGAGAACTGCTACGAGACTTACGCGATGGAGCCATTTACAGGAGATATGAAAGTAGATTACTGGATGCAACTATTCAGGAATGATCACGATTCACAAATAAATATTACTTACTATTACTAAGTTAGTAAAGTTACTATGCTCATAAAATGACGACTAGCTTAGTCAGTTATCACTTATCATTAATCCACTCGAGGAGAAACTGGAGATCAGAGTAAGAACAGCACTTAACAGTCAACGCACTTCAAAACTGTTACAATTTACATGAATTAATTACGCGCCAGTCGTGGACTATAGATGTAACGGACTATAAACAAAGGACAGTAAGGTAGACAACACTTAAAAGAATTTCGCACGCGTTAAAAGGGTTGAAAGCCTTAAATTCAGTTGCAAAGCCTTAAATTCAGTTGCCTTAAATTTACATTAATATTTTCGCTTTCAAAACATACATTTTATCTCCTATGTATATTGATTATCGGCTGCCATTCTGCAACAAAATAATGTGTCAATCATGGTGGCAAACAAATTTTTTGCCCGACTCATTTTCAGACGCATTCATAACTTCGTAATTTACGTTCACTTTTTGTTATTTTACTACACTGGGCCCGATATGGCATGTATTAAGTATTTTTAAAGTTTGTTATGTTTGAATGTTCTACTTTTGATTTGATTAATGTTTTGTATCACAGGTTCACAATGGTAACCGCAATGGCTTCCGATTGCTGTTGCCACAACGAGATCGAGAAGTAAACAGTACCCCCGTTCCAAGAAATACCAGCTGTTACATGTTNGGAGACAGAGATATGTAAAAACTAATTTTTTAAAATGTAAATTTATTTGTAAACTGAGTTATATTTTGACTGTTTACCATCGGCGTTCATAAAATTGTGATGCAATGCATATGCTTAATTTGCGTTCAGAAATTGTATGTTTACCCTAGAAAAAAAATATGTTCTCGATTGCCACTATGGTGTCAATCAATCTAAATAGTCATGGCAACAACTCGTTGCCATGGCAACAACTATTTAAATAAAAACTCATTAAGCAATTCCAGTGTTTTTTTCCTTCCTAATTTTTATTTGTTCATAATTCTCTTGTTTAATAATTTTATCACAACAATTATACCCTTGACTTAAGGTTTGTTTGAAGAACTTCGAAAGGCGATGTAGAGGAAATTCTGGTAAATTTTAGTAGACCGAAATTCCGAATCGACAGTTCTGAGACAAATTTCCGCTGAAAATGTTCCACGTTTATTTTTTTTAAATTGAAACCAATCTTGACCTAATAAAATGAAGGGTAGTTTTTTTCGATATTATTCAAACTTCGAAGTAGTTCCCTTTGATATTATTTAGCAAATTATGGCTACTTTTTACCATCTGCGCAAGCACGAGTTTGCCAAATTAATACTACAAGGAGATAATTAACAACTAAATTATAGATTGATGTTATCATTTTTCGTGCGTTGTCATAATTTTTTCATTGTTTGATTTCATTTAGCTCGTTGAAAGTTAATTTTCAGCTCCCTTACAGATTAGAAGCCAATTAAAAACAAAGCTATTTATTGACATCTAAATAAGTATTGGGAAGTAGTCATTAATTAATTACTATCATTAAATAAAAAATCTAAGGAGATTATTTAAGAATGTAATGGAACAATGTAATTCTCACATGAAAAATCGTTTCCAATTATTTTTAAGAGAACTCGATCGTCGAGTTGCATCCTGATCCTCTTATTTACTTTGAGTGGTGTCAATAATCTTCTACCAGTGAAGTGTCATTAGGTAATGTTTAAATAATTTCTTATGAATTTTAATAATAGACATCGGCTTTTCTTCAAGTATTTTCTAATTTTACTGAGTATTTCAGTTTAAAACTTGTATAAACAATCGTGAAGTGCGATACAGCTTGCCATTGTACCTGTCAACAAAACATTTACAAATTAAAAGCAAAAAGCGGCAAATTTTACGAAGAAATACGTGCAACTGAGGTCATAATTATTATTAGCGAAAGTTTTTCTGTGCATACCAGTGTCTGTTTAAGGAAGAATGTTGCTTTTATTAATTTATAAATGATCTTGAAGATTAGAGTCATTTCACATTCTGAAGACTGTGTTTCCACTCCAAGACTATTTTGTATTGCTAGAGCGCAATCTTCATTGCGCAGCTGGCAGCTGCACTGCCGCATGCAGTGTTATCTAGACTGTCAGCGTGGGAGGTTGTCTGCCGGAGGCTGCGCGCCGCTCCTCTAATTTAAGGTCGGCGTTCACAAAACTCAAATTACTAAGGTAATTTAAAATTGATATGTAATTGCACCATGCTCAGGCATGAATAGAAATTGATTCTACTCTGGTTGTATAGAAATTAAATTGACCAATGGGACCTTGGAACTGGAATAATGGAACTTTTCAGTTCTATTATATATGGGGTGCAACAGACTAGAATTTTTTTCTGAGTTAGTGTTGGTAAATCCTTCATAATCCTTGCCTATTACAGTTGCAGGGATGCTTAACTTAATATCCATCTAAAATTTTGTTTCTAATATGAGCAGAAATCCTAAAATGCTGGAACTTTTAATTTTTGAATCAAGTAAGGTTGTTGCAACTGCCTAGTTAGTGTAATCATTTGGTGCCAACTACTTAAGTGGCAGTCAGAAGAGAAGCTGCTACAATGAAACAAAGTCAGCTGGACACTTGGAGCACCAGGGAGCAACTGGCGCTGGTATCAGCTGTTCAAAGTAGTGGTGACCAAAACTGGTGAGTTTACATTACTATATTACTAATTTAATGTAGGATGGTGAGTTGTACCTATTCATATTATGGTGATATTTGGTCAGGTGATTTAGGTTATGGTGATTTAGGTTTATTGTGTTTTAATATGTTCATAGACTTGTATAAGATACATTATGCAAATTTTTATTGTTCATTTTGGGGAGAATAAGTACTTTGAAGATCATTCTTATCAATGGGAAGGTTACCAAACCTGTGCTTTGGAGATAACTAAGTTACAAATAGTGTTGTAAACTTGCACATTTTGAATGATTCAATTCCAGTGTTATGCAAGAAATTTTCTATAAACAGGTTTCAATTCTGGAATTTGAGATTTTCATAACAAAATTATTGTTTAGAACATTTGATATAGTGGTGCCATTATGTTAACGATGTGGTTATTCAGGGTTGCCGTTAGTCGGGCCATCCGACTGCTAAGCAATGAAGGACCTCGTCCCCTGGACTGGTATAGCCAGAAGAACTGTGCCCTGCAGTATGCAAGTCTCCTGGAGACAGTCACTCCTGCCAAGCGCAAGCGAGATAAGGACAAGACCAACGGCCTGTCTTCATCTGATGTACCCTGCACTGAGACACCTGGCGAGACCCTGGCTAAACTCTTGGCTAAACGTGGGTCATAAGCTAGACTTTTATTACATGTGAATTGTACATAACACATGTCATCTGAAATATTCAGAGTAATAATTTAGAGATGTTTGATGCTTACTTGTGAGTGGTAAATTACACTTATCATCTGTAAGGATGTATACACATCATCATAATTTCAAATGTAAATGCTATGGGTATGACAAAATTCATTTCAGTTGTTGATTGTCAATTTGGTCTAGTTTCACTGAAGCCTTGTAGAAGTGGTGAATTTAAACCCTTACATTTATTCATACATCTCTGTATTTATATGACAGGCCAAGCTAATTTTCTTTCAAAAGATATTTTTTATATTAGTGAAAATTCAAGTTTTAAAATAAGACTCATGAATACTCTCAGTTATTCCAGTTATACATTTCAGTATGAATTATATATAAAAGAACAATTTATTTGGCAGACAGCATGAAAAAATACAACAGAATGCTTATAAAATGTTCGTTCTGTCAGTTAAAAACACAACATTCAATCCAGTCCAGTTGATATAAAAATAAAAATATTGACAAAGCTTTGCAAGAGGAAGATATCCTTAAAATTTTTTTCATTAGTGAAATATTTTCTACACTTAATGACTACTTCTATTGATTGATTAAATTTGTTCCTGTTAAAAACACCAAAGGAACACTAATTGCAATATGTTAGTGTTGGCTTAAAAATTTCCCACTCATGATGGCCGTTTGTTATGACAGAGCACCTGAGTGAGCTGGCTGCGGTGATAGAGCAGGAGCGACAGCTGTACCACCAGCTGCGTCATGAGCTGCAACAGCTGGAAGCAGGCCACCTCGACCACCAGCTGGATCTGCTCTGGGACCAGATGGTGCAGTAAGTTGTATGGTGCTGCTTTGGTGCCGGACATGATGCCCTGAACACTCATACACATACCACTGAAAGATAAAGATGTGATATTTGATGTGTGCAAGACATTGATGCCCTGTGTGTGTTGTGTGATGCTGCTCTGGTGCCAGGCATGATACCCTGCATGCCCATACCCATACCCCTGAAGGGTATGATATGTGATGTGCGCAAGACATCGATGCCCTGCGTGTGTTGTGTGCAGGACATGATACCCTGCGTGTGTTGTGTGCAGGACATGATGCCCTGCGTGTGTTGTGTGCAGGATATGATACCCTGTGTTGTGTGCAGGACATGATACCCTGTGTTGTGTGCAGGACATGATACCCTGTGTTGTGTGCAGGACATGATACCCTGTGTTGTGTGCAGGGAGGAGCAGGACGACCAGGCGCAGCAGCAGCGCTACCAGGAGTGGGCGAAGCAGCGCGAGGAGGCCATCGCTGCCGTCCAGCTTGCCCTCAGGCCTCCCAAGGGTAGTCGTGACGTCCTTATTGGGGCCTTGCTTATTGGGGCCTTGCTCTGCCCTGAGCAATATTGGGGCCTTGCTTACTGGGGCCTTGCTCTGCCCTGAGCAATATTGGCCATATTGGGGCCTTGCTTACTGGGGCCTTGCTCTGCCCTGAGCAATATTGGGGCCTTGCTTACTGGGGCCTTGCTCTGCCCTGAGCAATATTGGGGCCTTGCTTACTGGGGCCTTGCTCTGCCCTGAGCAATATTCGCCATATTGGGGCCTTGCTTACTGGGGCCTTGCTCTGCCCTGAGCAATATTGGGGCCTTGCTTACTGGGGCCTTGCTCTGCCCTGAGCAATATTGGCCATATTGGGGCCTTGCTTACTGGGGCCTTGCTCTGCCCTGAGCAATATTGGGGCCTTACTTACTGGGGCCTTGCTCTGCCCTTAGCAATATTGGGGCCTTGCTCTGCTC